GCTCCCGGTATGGCAAGAGACCACTAGTACCCACCGCGCCCAGCTGCAAGACGAACCACGCCTGCTCGTACGCCAGGACTGCCGGCAGCACCACAGTGCGCTTCCAGTGCTTGACGGCCCGTTTGCGGGCCTCGGGGTCCGCGCGAGCCTCCTCGGACAGTGCGCCGGCCGGAAAGTCAACGGCAATGCCCAATGCACGGGACACCTCGGCGGCGTGGTCCAGCCAAGTAGCACCCGTCGTGGCCCGCGTACCCGCCACCACCTGGGCCACGGGACTCCCATGTGGCAGCGCAAGCAGCCGCGCCCGACCGAGGGCGATCCGCTGCATCAGGGTCGCCCCCCACCGCGTCAGCATCCGCGTCTCCGCCAGCGCGCGAACATGCCCACCTGTGCCTAGGGAAACCCCTGGCCCCCCACCGAGCAGCATCTTGGCGACCTCGTACTGCGCATGGTTCACCCGCGCCACCGCGGCCTGCCATCCCGACGCGAAGCTGGCCAGCAACTCCGCGCCGTAGAACGCCTTGGCCACGACTCGCGCTGGAAGTTGCGCCACCTGGTAGGGTAGGCCGAAACCTCGCTGCGCGAGGGCGGCCGCGAGCTTGCGCGCTCCGTCGCGTAGCCGCGAGCACGCGCGCCCGAGCAGGGCGTGGAACCCGAGGTCCTGCTCCACGGGGACGCCCAACATGTCGAGGACTTGGGTAACCTCCAGCGGCACCCCGCACACAGTGCCGAAGTTGTCCGACTCAGGCCCACCCCCCACGGCCAGCACCATGGGGCGTTTGCGGCCGCCTTGGAAGCGGTGGCGCCACGTCAAACAGAACTCCGTCAGTGCCCGGTTTACGGCGGCCAGCCCCGCGGCCGACGACTGGAACACGAACGAGTCGTCCACGAACTGGAGGATCAGGAGCGCGTGAGCGGCCACGGCATCGAGGAAGGCGCACCTGTCCGCGACGGTACCTAGCGCCTGGAGGTGCTGGTGCCAGTCCGGCACCCCAGGCCGCACCGATACAAACAACTCCTCTGCACGGACAGCCCCCCAAGCTATTTCCGTGCCAGGCGCAAGAGTTGCGGCCTGATGGCATTCGTGGAACGCGCGCGCCGCCGCCGCCGGCGGGGCGACACCAACGCCCGAGGCCACGGCGGAGCAAGCATCCAACAATGCCCGCACCAGTGCGCCAAACATGTGCACCCCCGCCCGGCGGCCTTGCCCGACGCCGAACTCGGTAAGGACAGCCGCCGCCCCTGCAATCCCGCCGATGCGGACCCGGATCGTTTCGGATCCCAGCGCTGCGTCAGCAACCAGCCAAAGGTGCCCCCCCAAACCGGCGCGTCGCAAGTGAACTCGCACAGCATCCCGCCAGGCGAGGTCGTAGCCGCGTTCCAAGTCGGCCTTCTCCACGGGGGTGGACAAGCCGTGCGCCCTGCGTATCTGTAGCGCCATGACCATGCCGATCACCATCAGGACGGCGTCATACTTACCTCCCGCCTGGGGGGCGCCCGCATACGCCTCCAGCTGGCCGCGGGCCGCCCGAAGCCACACGGCGTCGAACGTCCCGCATAGCTCGTCCACGTAGCTGACGGGGCGCAGGTGGGCGACGTCAGACACTACCACGGGCCCCCGCTTCCGGATGGGCGCCACCTCGCGCCACCATCCACTTGGCATAAGGCCCGAGACCGCCACCAAGCATACCAATGCCCAGGTGACGAGCCTCCCGCCCCAGAGTTCGGTGAAGACGGCCGCGCGCGGGAGGTGCAGGGAACGCCGGTTCCCCTTCATCTCCCTGAGGACCGCGTTGACGTCATCCAGGGAGAACGGGTCGAGCGCGCCCAACTCTGCCGCCTCCGCTTGCGATTCCCGGCGTGCCTGGCGGACCTCATCGGCCACGGCGCGGTTGAAGGCTGCGTCGCCAGACCCAGCCTGCGCTCCGCGTGACAACACATCCTCGGTGATGACCTCCAGAGCGTCGGCCAGCCCTAATAACTCACCGGACACCGGGCACCGCAAGGCCAACTGTACCGGCAGACGGGGTTCCAATGCGCGACTCAGGAAGGCTTCCGCCTCGCCGGGCGACGCCGCTGCGAGTTCGAGGTACCCGTCAAGAGCTCTGGTGGCGGCTTTCCGGGCGGGCGGGTCCGCATCGCCCGCAGCCGCCGCGGCCCACGCCGCCCGCAGCTCCCCTGGCCCCACGCCCTCGTCGTCATCGTCGCGGTCCGCACCGGCAGCGCCTACTCCCCGCGGCTGGCCGCGTGGGCCGTGCGCAACCGACATACCCGCAAAATGGCCAGCTAGGGTGTAGACAACAGCCCTCCACCAAACCACCCGGTCGAGCAGGCCCTGCCGTGTGCCCCGGCAGCGCCCTTCGACTACCCAGCGACGGACGACAGCTGACCGCATGGCCGTACCCGCCCAGCCCACCAAAAATCGTAACGCGAGTGGTACCAACAGTAAAGCCTCCCCCCAGTCGGCGCCACGCTCCCACCTCGCGAAGCCCACTGCCGACTCCCCCGTGCAGTCCACCACGCCAGCGACCGAAACATCAAGGTGGCGATGGTCGCTGCGCAGTCCCGCGTCCGCGGGCGCCACCACCTTGACCTCAGTCACCAATTCCGGCGACGAGGCTACCACGTCGATGATGGAACCTGACGCATGCGTCGGGCACCCAACAGGGTTGCGGACCATGGACCCGAAATGGCAAGCGTCGTGCAACCACTGCCACACGTCGCGATCCAAGCTCTCCTCCAGGCGCCCGCTGATACCGCCCAACGCCGAGAAGTGTAAGTTGAAGTCGCCCGCCAACAAGAACGACCAGCCGAGAAAGCACGGGCGGGCGCGGAGCTGGCGCCACTCGTCCACACGAGTCTTCCAGAAGGTTCGGCGGGCCCCAACGCCGTAATTGGGGGGCGGCCCATAAACTCCCAACAGTAACACCCCAGTGCGGGCCGAACCTCCCATGGATACGGCAGCCCAAAGGGCCCGTGCATCCCCAACCCCCTCCAAGACTTCCACACGACTACCGATCTCGTCCAGGACTAGTAGCGCGACCGTGTCCGGGAGTGCACTGCGTTCACCGTGGTACGCATACCCAGCCCAGCGGGGCCAAAGGCTGCCGGGGGCTAGCCTCGGCTCAGAGAGGACTGCGAGGACCACTCCTCTGCTGTGCAGTGCCACGACAAGATCGCGAATCCTGCCCTCATGAGCTCCCTCGCCGCGTCTGGACCCCAGCCCGCCCTGCAAGTTAAAGGCGGACACCAGTAAGTTCATGGCGCGCGCAGGCACAGCTGCATCCTGCACCAGCTCGTGGGCCGGCAACCCCCCCCCCCAAGCACCGCACACAGAATTGATGGGAACGTCCCTCGCCTGCCAAGCCATCCGGGCCTCCACTCGAAGGCATGCTTCACGCGCCCCCGCATCAAATATCCCGAAGGCTTCCAATTCTGGGGGTGCGCCAGAGAGGCCGTGCGGGGGTTGCGCTCCGAGGAGGGCTCGCGCGCCCCGCCTACAGCAGATCGCTCTCCAAGCTCCAGCACGGCCGCTGCCGTCTGGGAGCACCCTCTCGGCCAGCTCTCGGATTTCAGCTGACGCGCGACCTGCCTCCACACGGGTTGCCCAACTACACAGCGTGGCCGTATCAGGGGGGTTCGCCCCGCCGCCTGCATCCCACGCGCCCGCCATGGCGCGCACCGCGGGAGGGGCGTCTCCTCACGAGCCATCGGGCGAGCGGGTAGGGAGGGAACAGGAAGCAGGCGAGCCAGGGAAAGGGCCCTGGAAAGCACTGGCGGGGCGCGGCTGATGAGATGTTCAAGAATACGTCTGCACACCACGGCGCGGATGACGAAGGTGCCCGGCAAACCATCAATAAGCCCTGACTGGGAAACCTGAAATGGAAAACGGGCGATCCCCGCGGGGGGGATGGAGCGGCCCTTCGGTGCGGATAGGCTGGTACATTCAAATTAGGGGGTGCGGCCCGCCGACCACTCTATCTGCGATCCCCCACTGGCCAGGGCATGAGTCCGCAACCATGTGACCCTGAGGGGGCTCGCAAACAAGACCTGGCAGAGCGGCAACACTGGATTCGGGAAGCGCGGGCTTCCAAACCGTTACGCCTCAGGGGTGACACCACGTACACCCCCCGCACACCCCTCCGCGAGGAGGGGGGGAGGGGAGCAGGGAAGGGGACCGGGGGAGGAGGAGGGGGGAGGAGCGGGAGGGGGGAGCTGGGGGCCAGCGGCACGTACGTCAATGTCCCAAGTAAACCATGCATGTCAACCGTGGCGCCTGCTGCCGACGACGAGCCCCAAATGCACACAGTTTCGACTCCAATTAAGGGTGCCGGGTCTGACCATCGAGGGACAGACTGCCACCCCCTTTGCGAGACGCGGAAGGGCGCCAGAACTGACCAAGGAGGGACCTGAGAACGTGGCCGAAACACGGGGGGCAAAACGTGCCCCCCACGAGGGACAACCAAGGGCAGCCCCGGAACGCTCTCGGCGAGGCGGGCCGCGGCCCCGAACACGGAGGAGCCGCTTTCGCAGTGAAACCCGACGAACAACCCCCCCGACAGCTGCAGTTCGCCGTGGTTGCCAGCTGACGCCCTGACGCGGGGCTGGGTGGGCTTCGCCACGGCGCATCCTGGGGCTCACGCCGTCTGACGACTCCTGAGGCGGGGTCCCTGAAAGAATAGGGAACCCGGAAAAGGGAGAGGCAGGGAGGCGGGGGGAGGAGGAGAAAGGGGGGCGGCGACGAGGAGGAGGAGGAGGAGGGGGAGGAGGAGGGGAGGACGAGGAGGAGGAAGGGGGGGGTGGGGCGCACTCTTTTTGAGGACCGCGGCGCGCACCCGCCCATTCGACCCTGGCGGGCCGTCGTGGCGCCTGGCGGCTCCCAGCTGCCGTGTAAAGGATACATGCTAATAGGAGTCTTCGAATTCACGCCTCACCCGCAGTCCCACGCCCAGGTGGCCAACCGCCATTCGAAGCGCCCATCCGGTCGGCGGCGCGGCGCCCTACCACGCGGCGCCCGGTGCCGCGGCGGCCTGCAGGCATTGCATGACTGACGTCGGGGCCACGTTCTGCTGGCCGGCGGTCACGCCCGCCACCGTGCCGAAGGCCCCCACCCACTGGACGAGGAAGTCCAAGAAGTTTTGCTTGACCCCCACTGCCACCACGGTACGCGAGGCTGCATTGTACTGGATCGACACCGCCGAGGGCCTGCCGTAAGATGGGCGCGCGGGCACCCGGAGGCGGTGCACGTTCGTGCGAGCGTCACCGCCCTTCTCCGCCCACCAGGACGTCGTGCCTGGGGGCTTCTTCCACACCCGGTTCTCCGCCTCCACCAAGACCTGCACTGGGACCTGCGGCCCCGCTGCCCCATGAAATGCTTGAATGCGCCGCGCCACGTCCATGGGGCCCGCCCCAGGCCGCTCGAACGACACGTGAAGCTGCGGAGCGCCACCTGATCCCCCCCCCTGGCACTGTGCAGGAGGTCAGGCGCCGCCGGAAGTCCTCCACCGCGATGGTCAAGGCGGCCGCGTCCTTCGTGTTGAATTGGGGTGTCGGCGCTGCCGCCCCTGGACCCGCTGGCGGTGGCCCTGCGGGCTGGGCACCCGCCTGGGCCCTCGCCGTCGCCTGTTTGACTACCTTGAGGACCTCCTCCACCGCCGCCGCCGGTGACATGCCTACGTGGTCAATCGCGTCGGCCACATTGCGGAGGCCGGACACCAGGTTCGCCACCACGTCCTCCTCCTCCTCGGCTTTCGTCGCTGCCTGCACCTGCGCCCAGCCGCGGCAGCACGCCCCGCACGCCGCGAGGTCTAGACCGCAAGCGCACCGGACGGCACCGGGCGCTGCGGCCATCGCCGTCCCCGGCCCGCCCGCGGCCCCAGGGGGGCTCTTCCCCGGCCCGCCCAGCCAAGCCACCGCTGCCGCGGCCGCGGCCGGCGGGTCCTGCACGGCCCCGCGCGGCCCCTCCCACGATGCAGGAGGCGTAGCCCGTGCGTCCATGCTACCCGCGTCCTTCGCTGGGTTGGGCGGCACGCCCGCGGCGTGCGGCTGGGGCTGCGGTGGCACGAACGGCACGGTTGGGCCCGCGGGCACACTGGCGCACGGTACCCCCCCCGGAACTGGAGCGGCTGGCGCGGGCGCTTTCGGCGGCCCGCTGAACGGCGGCGGTGCGCCAGCGGGGAAAGCAAGGGCGAGTGCCAAGGCCATCTCCCTCGCGCCCTTCTCCGCAATCGCTGCCGCCGCGTCGCGTGGCGGCGGCACGAACGGTGCACCGCCAACGCTGACGTCGCGTGGCGGGGCGAGCCCCTGCAAGGGGGCTGGCGAGTGGAGCGGCTGCGGGCGTAGCTGCGGCGGCGCGCCCAAGACCACGCCATTCTCGTCCTTCGTCGGGCGGGGCGCCACGCCCGCAGCGAGCGGCTGGGGCTGCGGCACGAACGGCACGGTTAGGCCCGCGGGCACCCCGGCGTTCGGCACCCCCCCAGGAGCAGCAGGCGAAGGCGCTTTCGGAGGCCCGCTGAGAGGCGGCGGTGGGTGCACGGCCGCGGGCGCCACCGACAACCCCGCCCGGGCGAGCCACATACCAACCTCCCACGGGAGCACACCGTGGTTGGGCGGCAGGCCTGCGGCCGCCGGGCGCTCGAACGGGGACACCTCCGTGCGGGGCGCCGTCGGCGGCGCCGACTTCGCCCGCGCGCTGATGCCCCGGTTGTTGTCGCGCTGGTAGATCGTTCTGGCGCGGTGCACGCCGCCCGCCGCCCGGGGCGGGGAGCGAGGAGTCCGATCCCGAGACCGGGAGCGCTCGCCACGGCGGGCGCGCCTGCCCCCGCGCGGCCCTGGCTGTCGCGGGATGGATTGGCTGCGGCTGTGGCTTGCCATCAGCGGGGGGTTCCTTAGGCCAAGATCCCCTTCACTCCCAAAGAATCCTGAGCCTTAACGGCGAAGGTGCGGATGCAGTTCGGACCCAGAGGCCACGGCGATAGGGGTGACTGCGAGCAGCGGCTCTGGCCCGGGGGTCTCGGCCTGGCGGGGGCGGGGGGGAGGCGGCGCTGACCCGGAAGTCGGTCTCGGCCAGGCAAGGGGGGGGAAGCAGAGGCGGCTCAAACCCGGGGGCCTCGGCCTGGCGGGGGTGGAGAGGGCGGATGCGGCTCTGACCCGGAGGCCTCGGCCTGGCAAGGGGAGGGCGGAGGCGGCCCTGACCCGGAGGTCTCGGCCTGGCGAGGGGGGGGGGGGGGCGGAGGCGGCTCTGACCCGGAGGTCTCGGCCTAGCAGAGGGTGGCGGAGGCGGCTCTGACCCGGAGGTCTCGGCCTGGCGAGCGGGGGGGGGCGGAGGCGGCTCTGGCCCGGAGGCCTCGGCCTGGCCTCGGCCTGGCAGACCTAGCTCGGCTAGCAGACCGAGTTCAGACCTCTGGATTCAACAGGCGAACGCGCCTGAGCATTCTGAATCGATTAGCTGTGCTCACCAGCTCTGTAGCTGTCCTAAAGCTCGAGTTATGTTCAGAAAACCGTCATCCCGTGTCAAGATGACTTGAAACGGCCGATCCCGCCCGTGTGCTTTTTGGCAGTAAAAGATACCCGATCGAGGTGAGATCAAGATGGCGAGCGGTAATAAGATCGAAAATCATGGGAAAAAATACTAGAGCTCAAACGAATTGTTGAATTTCGAGAACAAAATTTTCAACCGACCAAAAGTCACCAAAAGGTCCGTCGAGATTTTTCTTACCAACTAGCTCTCCAGCGCCCCGGAATTACTCTTAAGCTTCCAGCAATAACTTGCTAAGGGAAGCTCTACGGGTTACTAGCTCTCCAGCGCGCCAGAATTACTGGGCGACGGCTGTAAACCGTCAACCTTCCTACCGCCGGGGGACTCGTAGAGCTTCCTGAGCATATAATGTCGAAAAATTGCCGAGAACGAATTAATTTTTGAGCCTAAACGATTTCACACCTCTCGATGCAACAGCCAAACGCCCCTCATGCTTCTGGATCGTTTTCTGTGCGCACGAGCTCCGTAGCTCTCCTAAAGCGCGAGTTACGCGCAAAAATCGAGAGCAGCTCTCAAGATCACTCGAACAATACAAATAGGTTCGCGAATCTAGCTCGAGTATCAGACCGAGTTCCGACATCTGAATGCAACAGGCGGACGCGCCTGATGTCTCCGAATCGATTCCTGTGATTACCAGCCCTGCAGCCCCCCTAACAGCCCGAGTTAAGTGCAGAAAATCGACAGCACCGCTGAAGATGACTCGAACAATACGAATAGTTTCGCAGATCTAGCTCGGGCAGCAGGCCGAGTTCAGGGCTCTGAATGCGACAGGTGGACGCGACTGATGTCTCAGAATCGATTCCAGTGATTACCAGCCCTGCAGCCCCCTTACAGCTCGAGTTGAGTGCAGAAAACCGACAGCACCCCTCATGATGACTCGAACAATACGAATAGCTTCGCGGACCTAGTTCGGGCAGCAGACCGAGTTCCGAGCTCTGGATTCGACAGGCGGACGCGCCTGATCTCTCCGAATCGATTCCTGTGATTACCAGCACTGTAGCCTCCCTACAGCCCGAGTTCAGTGCAGAAAACTGTCAGCACCTCTCAAGATGACTCGAACAACACGAATAGTTTCGCGAACCTAGCTCGGGCAGCAGACCGAGTTCAGACCTCTAGATGGAACAGACGAACACGCCTGACGATTCGCAATCGATTTCTGTGATAATGACCTCTGTAGCTGCCCTGCAGCTCGAGCTAAGCACAAAATACCGACAACGCGTATCAAGATGACTCGAAACAGCCGATCCCGCCGAGATGCTTTTTTGCAGAAATATTTACCCGATCGAGCTGAGATCAAGATGGCGAGCGGGAATAAGATCGAATCTCATGGGAAAAAAGACTAGAGCTCAAACGAATTGTTGAATTTCGAGAACAAAATTTTCAACCGACCCAAAGTCAGCAAAAGGTCTGTCGAAATTTTTCTTGCCAGCTAGCTCTCCAGCGCGCCGGAACTGGGTGCCGGCGGTAAACCGTCAACCTTTCTTACCGCCGGGGGACTCGTAGAGCTTCCTGAAAATATATAATGTCGGAAAAAATGCGGAGAACGAATAGTTTCGAGCCCAAGCGATTTCAGACCTCTCGATGCACCGAACGCCCCTGATGCTTCTGGATTGTCTTCTTTACGAGCTCTCCAGCTCTCCTACAGCCCGAGTTACACGCGTGAATCGACAGCCCCTCTCAAGATAACTCTAACAAAACGAATAGTTTGGCAATCCAGCTCGAGTATCAAGCCGAGTTCAAACCTTTGAATGCGACAGGCGAACGCGTCTGATGTCTGCGAATCGACTCCTGTGATTACCAGCCCTGCAGCCCCCCTGCAGCCCGAGTTCAGTGCAGGAAACCGACAACACCTCTCAGGATGACTCGAACAAGACAACAGTTTCGCGGACTAGTTCGGGCAGCAGACTCAGCTCCGAGCTCTGGATTCGACAGGCGGACGCGCCTGATATCTTCAAATCGATTCCTGTGGCCACCAGCACTGTAGCCCCCCCCCCCCAGCCCGAGTTGAGTGCAGAAAACCGAGAGCACTTCTGAAGATGACTCGAACAATACGAATAGTTTCGCGATTCTAAATCGAGCAGCAGACCGAGTTCAGAGCTCTGGATTCAACAGACAAATGCGACTGATGATTCTGAATCGTTTTCTGTAAGCATCACCTCTGTAGCTGTCCTAAAGCTCGAGTTAAGTACAGAAACCGAAAGCGTCTGTCAAGATGACCCGAATAATACGAATAGGTTTGCGGACCTAGCTCTGCTAGCAGACCGAGTTCAGACCTCTGGATGCAACAGGCAAACGCGCCTGATCATTCTCAATCGATTAGCTGTGCTTAGCAACTCTGTAGCTGTCCAAAATTTCAGAAACCCTCATCGCGTGTCAAGATGACTCGAAACGGCCGATCCCGCCCGAACGCTTTTTCGCAGTGAAAGGTACCCGATCGAGCTGAGATCAAGATGGCGAGCGGGCATAAGATCGAATCTCATGGGAAAAAAGACTAGAGCTCAAACGAATTGTTGACTTTCGCGTACAAAATTTTCAACCGACCGAAAGTCACCAAAAGGTCCGTCGAGATTTTTCTTGCCAACTGAGCGCCGGCGGTGAACCGTCAACCTTCCTTACCGCCGGGGGACTCGTAGAGCTTCCTGAGCACATATAATGTCGCAAGAAAATGCAGAGAACGAATAGTGTTTCAGCCTAAACGATTTCAGACCTCTCGATGCAACAGCCAAACGCCCCTCATGCTTCTGGATCGTTTTCTGTGCGCACGAGCTCCGTAGCTCTCCACAGCACGGGTAGTGCAGAAAATCGACAGCACCTCTGAAGATGACTCGAACAATACGAATAGCTTCGCGGACCTAGCTCGGGCAGCAGGCCGAGTTCAGAGCTCTGAATGCGACAGATGGACGCGACTGATGTCTCCGAACCGATTCCAGTGATTACCAGCCCTGCAGCCCCCTTACAGCTCGAGTTAAGTAGAGAAAACGGACAGCACCTCTCAAGATGACTCGAACAATACGAATAGTTTTGCGAACCTAGTTCGGGCAGCACACCGAGTTCTGAGCTCTGGATTCGGCAGAAGGACGCGCCTGATGTCTCTGAATCGATTCCTGTGAGTACGAGCCGAGTAGCCCCCCTACAGCCCGAGTTAAGTGCAGAAAACTGTCAGCACCTCTCAAGATGACTCTAACAACACGAATAGTTTCGCGAACCTAGCTCGGGCAGCAGACCGAGTTCAGACCTCTAGATGGAAGAGACGAACGCGCCTGATCATTCGCAATCGATTTCTGTGAGAATGAGCTCTGTAGCTGCCCTACAGCTCGAGTTAAGTACAAAATACCGAGAACGCGTATCAAGATGACTCGAAACAGCCGATCCCGCCGCGATGCTTTTTGACAGTAAAAGGTACCCGATCGAGCTGAGATCAAGATGGCGAGCGGGAATCAGATCGAATATGGTGGGAAAAAATACTAGAGCTCAAACGAATTGTTGAATTTCGAGAACAAAATTTTCAACCGACCAAAAGCCAGCAAAAGGTCCGTCGAGATTTTCTTGCCAACTAGCTCTCCAGCGCGCCGGAATTACTGGGCGCCGGCGGTGAACCGTCAACCTTTCTTACCGCCGGGGGACTCGTAGAGCTTCCTGACCATATATAATGTCGAAAAAACATTGCAGAGAACGATTAGTTTTTCAGCCTAGCGATTTCAGACCTCTCGATGCAGAACTCGCTGTGCTGCCCGAGCTAGGTTCGCGAAACTATTCGTGTTGTTGGAGTCATCTTGAGAGGTGCTGACAGTTTTCTGCACTTAACGCGGGCTGTAGGGGGGCTACAGGGCTCGTACTCACAGGAATCGATTCGGAGACATCAGGCGCGTCTGCCTGCCGAAGGGGGGCTGTAAGGGGGCTGCAAGTGCTGGTAATCACTGGAATCGATTCGGAGACATCAATCGCGTCCACCTGTCGCATTCAGAGCCCTGAACTCGGCCTGCTGCCCGAGCTAGGTCGCGAAACTATTCGTATTGTTCGAGTAATCTTCAGAGGTGCTGTCGATTTTCTGCACTTAACTCGGGCTTTAAGGGGGCTGCAGGGCTGGCAATCATAGGAATCGACTCGCAGACATCAGGCGCGTCCGCCCGTTGCATTCAGATGTCTGAACTCGTCTGATACTCGAGCTAGATTCGCGAAACTGTTTGTAT